GATGTCTGCACTGGACCAGGTGGGTGCCCGCCTCTTGCGGTCCTGGGCAAGCTCCCGGGAGCCGCCAGCCTGGTCCCGGGAAGAGGGGGAGGGCTGGGGGGCATCGGGTGGCTGCCTCGAGCTGTGCCAGGTGCAGGGTCTGCTGGCTGGGTGCTGGCAGGCTTGCACCTGGCACGGGCACCGGAGCCAGCCCGTGCCCTTTTAAGGGGGCCAGGGCAATAGAGTTTCTCTGGTGTTGGCCAGAGTGGCCACCAGGGAAAGCTGGGGAGGGCTAGCCTCCCACAAGTTCGAATTAAGGGGCTACACAGCCCTTAATTCGAACTAGTAAGTTTGAACTAGGCTTAGTCCTCGTAGAATGAGGTTTACCTAGTTTGAACTAAGCGCTCCGCTAGTTCAAATTAAGTTCGAACTAGCGGAGCGCTAGTGTAACGCCTGTCAAAGTTAATTCGAACTAACATTCGTTAGTTCGAATTAACTTTGTAGTGTAGACATACCCTAAGAGATTGGAAGGATGCTCATATATCTTTTGGACTGATGCATGGAGGACCTGGAGCATCTTGTCTTCTCTTCAGGTAGTAGGGGTGCGTCTGCTGGCGTGTGAGCATTTTGACAGCACAGTTCTCCATATAAGACCCCATAGGGTCCTATACATGGTCTGATGACTTTTAAGATTATTTTTAAAAGGATGTGAGAGAAAAGGCAAACCACAGTAACCAGGTCACCAGAAGGCAGATAAAATTACTTGGCAGGAAAAACTGAAATTTGAAAAAATGTCCCTCAAGAACAGTTGCCTTTTTTCTCCACTCCATTTCCCACAGCTCCCACTCTATCCACTTGACTTTCTTTGGCACTTCTTTCTGCACCTTCCCCACTCCATTTTACTTTGTGGGAGGAGGTGCAAGGGACAGACACTTGATTCTTCTGGTTGAAGTCACGGCCCCCTCTTCAGGCCTCCTTTCTGCCAGTGCTGTAGCTCCGCAAAGTTCTGTTGGTTCACATATTCCAAATAGCCCTTTTTTCACTGAGCATGAGGAGCCCTTCTGTTTTTTCTACAGGGACAAGAAACAGGATTATGGGAGGTGCACTCCTGCTTCTCTCGACATGGAGGGCAGTTCTTTCCATGAAAGGACAGTGGAGGACAAAGGTGCCAACTGCTGCTTCTCCAGTTTCTGACATGGCTCCTCTTGCTGGCTTGGCGATACAGTAGAACCAAGACTGACAGGAAGTACATTTCTGCTGTGGGTGTTGTAGCCCATCAGCAAACATTGTACTTGCCTTTGAGAACTGACCATGCCTTTTAGCATGAGGTGTTCGACTGTGGCCAAAGAGAAGCAACTGGCAGACCATCTTGATTTTGTGAAGTTTAGATTGGTTTAAGGGGACATAAATATAAGTAATAGGATAAAGTTAAGACAGAATATTTAGGGTGAATATCTCAAAAAATATTTCCTGATGGTAAGATGTATTAGGCTGTGATATCAGGTATCTCAAAGGAAATGCTGAAAATCCAATTTATATGACAGTGCACTAATAAATGCACTGTACAGCAGGTTCTTGTATATGCAGGAAAAGTCCTATTAGAATGTATAATTGTTCTAATAGGTCTTTTTCATCTTTAACATCTATGATTTTCCTTGGAGATAGGTTTAAGATGAAAGCATATACAATAATATGCCAGAAGACTCTCACTCATGGTGTTAGCCATCATAAATCAACTGTAAGTGAAAGGATATTTTGATACTGTGTATATATTGTACATGAACCTGTATCTAGTGCATAATTAATGTATATTGTTAATCATATTTTTGAAGCAACTTTCTATAAAATAAAAACAATTGTGTCTTATTGTTGTATTTTGTTCTTCCTCTTTTTCCTTTTATGTCTGCCCATTT